CGGCGCGCATGTTCTCGGCGGTCGCGCTCTGCGACGCCTTGACGTTGCGGGCGGACCGCCCGAAGTCGAGGAACTGCACCAGCGGCTGCACGTGCGCGTCCTGGCGCGGCGGCGGGCCGCGGGCGGGCGCCCGCTCGACCCGGGGCGCCCCGAGAGCACGCGGCGGCGCCCTGCGCGCCCCGAGCGATCCGAGGCCTGGCTTTCTTCGGTGCGGTCTTCCCGAAAACCAGGCCTTTTCCCCAGGGCATTTTTGTTTCCATGCCGAGTCGTTCCTGGACGGTCCTGGGCCCCGCCCTGGGGCCCCGGGGTCCGAAAGAGTGTCCACGCTGGCGGCTCCAGAAAATACCCGGACCCAACACATATGGGACGGTTCGCTTTCGACTCCGCCGCCTTCCGCCGACCTTCTGCCGGCGAGCCCACTACCGTTTCGCTCCCGCGGGTTGCCGCCGAAAGCGAGATGCGCGAACGCGATGCCTTCTCCTGGAACCGCCCTGCATCCGCTGCCTCCTGGGGTCCCAGGGCGTCGGCCTCCTCGGCGGTGGGCCGTGCACATCCTCGCCTCGGACGGCCCCGAGCCTCTTCCCACAGGGTGTGGGGTGTGGGGTGGGGGTGAGGGGGGTAAACGTGCCCGATGCACCGCATCCTGGGGTCCCGGGGCACTGGCTCACCATGCGGCGGACGCGTGTGAACTCAAGCCTCCGACCAGCCCCGACTCCCGCCCCTCCCCGCGGGGACGGCCGCGTCGCCGGCCGAGACACAGAGGGCCTGTCCCCCTCCCAGTTCGGTCGGTGGGATACTGCCGACCTGAAGCGCAACGCAGCCGCCCCTGAGCCTGGGGGGCGCCAGTGTAAGAACGAACGAACGAACGAACGAACGACGCGCGGGACGTCCCCGGGAGAAGGGGTGGGCAGGCTAGCGGCTTGCGCGGGGCGGTCGTAGCCTCAGATGGGGCAGTCCTTGGAAGACCGGGGTGGCTTGAAGCGCGCTTCTGAAATACCGTGGGAGGCTCAAGTGCAGAGTGCGAAGGAAAGAGAACTCTCGGGGGCGGCCAAGAGGGGGGCGTCCAAGATGGGGGGGCGCAAATCCTGGCCAGCGGCACGTGCGCGGCCCAGGGGGGAGCCGGGGACGTATTGAGATAAGAAGAGGCGCCGTGAAATCTGGGATATCTCATGGCCTCCGCCATGATATCCCCCACCCCCTAGTCATCATCCCCCTCTCTGCGTATGGTGTTCCAACCTACTTTTTGCCTGGACCACCAGGAAGAATCTCGAGCACCAGAAAAAATACCGAAACTCAAAGGTTTTCACGTGTCGGGCCCTGGGAGACACTCGTCCGACACCGCTTCGACACTTTCCTTTGGGCGCTCGACATCTTCTTCTGCGATGTGTGGTCCTCGAGTACGATGGGAGCAACATAACACTGTGCCGCCCTCGAAACTTTGCACACTCCTGCCGCGCCAGATCCACGGATCGCTGACCCGTGCCTGCGCGCCCCCGAGATACCGAGCAGCCCTCGGCCCGTCCCCCTGCCACCGTGCGTGGGCCTTGGGTCCAAAGCCCTCGGGGGCGCCTCTTGGGGTTCGCAGCGCTCTCGCGGGCCTGTGGGGGGGAGGAGCAGTTTGGGGGCCACTGGGGAGTTGCTCGGGGGGCCTCCCTGGAGACTCTGGGGTGCCTCTTGGGGCCGCCTGGGGGCCTCTTGGGAGCCTCTCCTGGCCGAGGGCTCAAGACGGCCGTTCGAGCCCCCGTGCACCTCCCGCCCTGAGGCCCACCCCGCGCCCGAGGAGATCGGTGCGGGCACCTCCCTGGCTTGTTGGCCGGGGAGGCCCCGCGCACCGGCCCCCGCGAGCCAGGGGTGTCCAGGGACGAGATTCGGCGCCCGTGCATAAGGGAGGAGGAGGAGGAGGAGGAGGAGGAGGGAGGAGGAGGAGGAGGAGGAGGAGGAGGAGGAGGAGGAGGAGGAGGACGAGGAGGAGGAGGAGGAGGAGCAGGAGGAGGAGGAGGAGGAGCAAGAGGAGGAGGAGCTCTGGGGGGAGCACAAGAGCACGCTCCTCCCTGCCATATTGTGGAGTTGTGGAGTTGTGCCCGCGTCTCCTTTCTTCCCTCCTCTCCTCCTCCCCCCCCCTCCCTCCTTCCCATCCTTGCCGCAGCACTCCGCGTGTCTACCTATTCGGCACACCCCTCACGCGCTTCGTGGCCGTATATGGAGCTCAACCGAAAGCCCCAGTGGTAAAGTTCACATGCGTCTCCCCGCCCAGCACAGCGTTTCGTGGCCCATACGGAGCTCCACCGAAGGCCCCACTGGCGAAGGCCATATGCGACTCCCCCACCCAGTACACTATAGAGAGCTCCACCGACGGCCCCAATGGCAAAATCCACATGCGTCCCCATTACCCCGTACACCGGTTGGTGGCCCACAGGAACCTTCACCGACGGCCCCAGTGGTAAAGTCCACCTGCGCCGCCCCCCCCAGCACAGCGATTCGTGGCCCATAGGGAGCTCCATCGAAGACCCCAGAGGCAAAGTCCACATGCGTCTCCCCCACCTTGCACGTCGTTCCGTGGCCCATAGGGAGCTCCACCGAAGACCCCAATGGCAAAATTCACATGCGTCTCCCAGACCCAGCACAACGTTTCGTGGCCCCTAGGGAGCTTCAACGAAGGCCCCAGCGGCAAAGTCCACATGCGTCCCCCACCCAGTACACCGATTAATGGCCCATACGGAGCGCCGCCCCCAGTGGCAAAGTCCACATGCGTCTTCCCCACCCAGTACAGCGTTTAATGGCCCATTGGGAGCTTCACCGAAGGCCCCAGTGGCAAAGTTCGCATGCGTCTCCACAACCCAGTGCAGCGTTTCGTGGCCCATAGGGAGCTCCACCGAAGGCCCCAGTGGCAAAATGTCCCCCTGCGTATCCCCTGGCCAGTACAACGTTCCGTGGCCCATGCGGAGCTCCACTGAAGACGATACCCACAACTGCGGTGCTCACAGCTGCACATGGTCGGGTCCTTCGCCAGGCTTCATCTGGCCAGCGGCCGCGACAAACTCTGACGGCGGTCGAGCGGCAGCGGTGCGCTCCGGGGCACCAGAAGGCACAAGAGGGGAGGCGCGCCGGGGCGCGCGGAGGCCTGAGGGGCCGAGGGGGAGGGGCGCCACACTTCGGAGGTGGACAAACCTCCCTTTAGTAGACCTCGCCTTAGTGAAAACGGCCGGGGACCGAAACCGACGGACCTGGACCCGCAAAAATGACGGCCGCGACGCCCTCTCGCGAACCGAAAACGGCCGATTCCTTAATCGACGCGTCAGGGTAGGAGGTCTGTCCTCCCCCGAACACTCAGTCCATGGACATCTTCTTGCGCGTGCAGGATCGGGTCGGGCGAAAGGGGGGGATAGCAAAGGGGGGGGTTGAGAATCAGCTCGCGTATCTGATTTTCCCCCTGCGCCTCCCGGCGCCGAAGGCGGCTGTGCATCGAGGAATGTGCCCCTCGGTGAGGCCGTAACCAGCGGCATGCAACAAATTTCGTACCCCCCTTTCCCAATCCCCCCCTTTCGTCCGGCCCGACAAGAGCAGAGCACGCGGGGACGTGGCACCTCTGACCGGACCGCCTCCCGCACTCCCCGGGGGTGGCTCCTGGTAGGCCACTGCGGGGGGGCTCCCGTGCCCCCGCGTCCGGAGGCGGCCTCCCCAGGGGGGCGGGTGGGGCGTATCTCGCACTCCAGGGGATGAAGGGGAGGGGGAGAGAGAAAGAGAGGGGAAGGAGGGGGGAGGAGGAGGAGGAGGAGGAGGAGGAGGAGGAGGAGGAGGAGGAGGAGGAGGAGGAGGGGAGGAGGAGGAGAGGAGGAGGAGCAGGATGAGGATAGAAGGGGATGAAGAAGGAGAAGGAGAAGGAGAAGGAGAAGGAGAAGGAGGAGGAGGAGGAGGAGGAGGAGGAGGAGGAGGAGGAGAGGGAGGAGGAGGAGGAGGAGGAGGAGGAGGAGGAGGAGGAGGAGGAGGACCAGTGCAAATCCAAGACTCATCAACGATGTTGGAATCAACGCTCCCTCCGAGCTCCCTCTTGACAGGCCCCACAAGGACTCATTTCCACTGGGGGAACTGCCTCTTTGGAAAACAACCGTTTGAAGACCCGGAATGCCGAACCACCATTCTCGGGACTCCAACGCCACGGATCAACCTGACCTTTGCGTCTTGATCGCGTCAGAACACCATTCCTGGGACTGCAAAACCGCGAATCAAGATAACAATTGCACCCTCACAGCCCTGAATCCTTCCGAAACGCCATGTCTGAGCCGCCCTCAATCCGTTGAGCCCTGGCAGATTTTCAGGACGAGTGTGAGCGGCGCTAAGGCGAGAGCCACAGTTTGACAACCACCCGCCCTCGATCTGTGAAACTGTCGCCAACGTTTAAGCTGCAGGGTCATCAATGGTGAGGAAATCTCGAGATAAACGCCCGGCCCGCCCTTTCGACGGGCCTCGGGGTGCTACTGGGCGGAGTTATCTACAAGGAGAAGGAATGGAGCAGAAGGAGAAGGAGAAGGAGGAGGAAGAGGAGGAATAGGAGGAGGGGGGATCGAGGGATTGAGCGAGGAAGAGGAGGGAGATGGGATAATAGGGACGGAGGGCGGGGATAAGAGGGAACGCGGGATGGGGAAGGGAGGGAGGGAGGGAGGAGGACAACTTGGAGAAGGAGGATGAGAAGAAGGGAACAAGAGGTAAGAGCAGAAAGGGGAGGAGAAGGAGGATGAGAAGGAGGAGGCGGAGTGAGGAGAAGAAAGGAAAGAAGAGGAGGAGGAGGCGGAGGAGGAGGAGGAGGAGGAGAAGGAAGAAGAAGAGGGGATTGAAGCGCCAGGGGGGCCTCGCTGCCCAGGGCTCGAGGGGGGGGGAGAGAGCCCTCTCACTGTCGGCGGAAATGCTCGCCTTCGCGCGTCGGAGGTTGCGGAGCCAAAAGCGCAGCGACGCGGGCGAGCGATGCCGAAGAGAGAAACGGTACCTCTGCACGACGCCGCGACGACCCTGCGCCGTGGCCCAGGGGGGCCGCCAGCGCGGCGCACCGCGTGGAAGCGGGGGAGCTTACGCGCGAACTTGCTCAGCCAACTCTGGCCATCGCTCGGACGTCCATTCCCTGTTCTTTTGTCGGTTTCGTGCGTGTTTTTTTGCCAGATGGTCGAGGATGCTCCTCGATGGTCCCCGCCGAAGGAAAAATGCACACGTCCGAGCGATGCCAAGAACTCGAACGATAATGTCCTTGCCGTCGATGGCGCCGTGCAGGCGGAGCCTACCTCCTTTTGGGCGGGGCGGAGGGCCTGGCCCCCCCGCCACGCTCCAGGATCACGCCACCCACCCGACCACCCGAGCACCTCCCGATGGCCCCCCCTCGGCGCCTCGCGGCCTGGGCTGGAGGAGCCTCGAGACGACACCTTCGACTCCCACCCGGAGCTTCATACATCGCATGCGTAAGACACGATGGCTTCTTGGTTTCCTGGTTCGAGAGAAGTCGGTGCTCGGGTGCCGTCCTTGGGCCCCAGGGCCCACAAGGTAACAGAACCGAGCCAAAGGGAAAAACTGGTTCGCCCAGAGGCCCTTCACGGCGACAGCACAACAGGACACCGACCGAACCGATAAGCGAAACTGGAACCGACTGGCCGCAAGCAGCCTGGAAGGGCGCGGCGACGCAGCAACGACACAGCAACCGATCGAACCGAACCGACCGCACGCAACCGCTTGCGACACGGCCGAGCTGACCGCACCGCGGAAGCCCTTGGCTCCCTGGGGCACGGGTAGGCTCGCGGGAACGCCCCCGCGAGGCAGGGCAGATGGCGAGATCGCTGGCGCAACCCGCCCCGACCCCCATGGGCGCCCGGAGCCCTGCCCGCACTCGCCCACTCTTTTGCCGCGCGGCCGTCACAGCGCCGCCTCCCTCTGCAGGTCGAGGATGGCCACCGGCAGGGGCCGCGGCACGCCGTCCGGGGAGACCGACGTGGAGGCCGCGCCGCAGATCAGGTCGTGGCGGTGCCCCACGACGGTGGCGCCCGGGACCTCGGCGAACACCGCCCTGCCCCGCTCCCGGGCAGGCAGCAGCGCGGCCAGCACCTCGAGGAACGCGGGGCGCCCGGCGCGGCCCGGCGAGTCCCCGACGATGACCCGCGAGCCGCGCAGGTACGCGTCGGCCACCCGCCGCGCGCAGGCGCGGCCCGTCAGCGGCTCGTACATGACGTCCGAGGCCACGACCAGATCGGCGGGCGGCAGCGCCGCGCCCTCGTCGCAGAGGTCCAGCAGAGCGGTCCTCACGTTGGCCAGCGGCTCGGGCTGACAGGCTCTTGCCGCGTGCTCCAGGAGCTTCAGGGGCAGCGTGGCGTAGTCCGTGGCCATCACGTCTTTCGCTCCGCCCGCGGCGGCTGCGAGGGAGACCAGCCCGGTGCCCGCCCCAAGCTCGAGCACGGTCATCTCGCGCAACACTGGGCCCAGCTCCAGCACCCGGCGGGCGACTGCAGACGCCGCTGGCCACAGAACCGCGCCGTAGGGGTCGGAGGTGTTCTTGGAATCGTAGTCCCAGCCGTCGTCCAGCGCCCGGTCGACGAGGCCCTCCTGTGCGGCGGCGTCCGCCTCGAGAATCACCAGCGGCGGGATCGCTGCAGACACCGGGACCGCGACCTCGTTGAACGTGAAGCCGTCGATCACGTGCCGCCGCAGCTGCCTAGAAGGAGAAGAAGAAGAAGAAGAAACGCCATAAACATAAACTCTTGGCGCTCCGCGCGGATTCCTTGGATCTGTGCTGGGGCCCCCCTCCCTGGCGCGCTCCGCGCGCCAGGGGCGGCGCCAGAGGCGCCGCAAGCCGGGGGGGTTCCAGCGCAGGTCCACAAAATCCGCGCGGAGCGCCAAGAGTCTATGTTTGTGGCGTCTTCTTCTTCTTCTTCTTCTTCGACTGCCGCAGCTGCGGCACGGCGGGCGCAGCGGCGCGCGCAGCGCACCCCGCGCTCTGCCGCGGCGCGGCCGCTCGCGGCGCGCGGCCGCCGCGGCCCCGACGGTGGCGCGCCCGGCGAGGCCAGCGCGCGGGGCGGCGCCTGCGGCGGCCGCGCCGCCGCCCGCGCCAGCGGGCCGGCCGCCGCCAGCAGGGCCGCCAGCCCGGGCGCCCGCAGCGCCCCGCCGCGGCGCGGGCGCGGTCCGCGCGGTGCCATGCCCAGCGCGGCGACGGGCGCCGCGGGCCGCGCGCCTGGCGCGGGCGCCGGGCAGCGTTGGGCCGAGGCGCCTGCGGAGAGGGGCAGCGGAGGATGGAGGGAGGGGCAGCGGGAAGGCGACGGGGGAACGAGGAAATGAGGGTGGGAGGAGGAGGAGGAGGAGGAGGAGGAGGAGGAGGAGGAGGAGGAGGAGGAGGAGGAGGAGGAGGAGGAGGAGGAGGAGGAGGAGGAGGAGGAGGAGGAGGAGGAGGAGGAGGAGGAGGAGGAGGAGGGGGGGAGGGGGGGGAGGAGGAGGAGGAGGAGGAGGAGGAGGAGGAGGAGGAGGAGGAGGAGGAGGAGGAGGAGGAGGAGGAGGAGGAGGAGGAGGAAAAAGTGGAGGAGGAAGCAGTGGAGAAGGAGGAGGAGGAGGAAAAGGGGGAGGAGGAGGAGGAGGAGGAGGAGGAGGAGGAGGAGGAGTGTTGCAGGCCCAAAAGGCAGAACAAAACCGTGGCGCTCAGCAAAGCGCGGGCCAACGTGCCCTGGCCAACGGCCAAAGTGGCCAACGGCCAACACCAAGGGTACACGCGCAAAAAGAGGGGATCACGGACACAAGCTGGGACCTGACCTCCGGCCTCCTTTCCTTGACTAACTCCCAATAGCGCCAGAAACGCTGTGCCTTAGGGAGGAAATCAAGGAAAAGAAAGCAAACCAAGGACCGCCCTACACCCCGCGCCAAAATGGCGCACGGGGCCGCCCGCGGCCATGGGTCGTCTACCCAACCGCGAACCCCACTATATGGAACGCCCAAGTGTAACCTACTACAACCTCGAGACCCGCGAGTGGGACCGGGACGACCTTGGCAACGCCCTGCTGCGACCCAGATGGAATAGAGCAGTCTCTGATGATAGCGGCGAGTGCTTCTACGTCGGCAACAACAGCATGATACGACACCCACCAATGGCGGACAGAAACCAGAGGTAGCCACCTCCCCCGCCTAGGGCAAGGTCAACATCCCCGCAGGCAAGATCCTTCTGCGTGGACGTATCCGTCCTCGATGACAGCATCCTCAGGTACAACACCGACCACGAGTACAAGCACGCCCTGGACGGCGTCCAGACTGAGTTTCAGCACCTGGACAACGACCATATGCTCGCCTACATTGAGGCTGGCGAGCTGCGCCAAGCCGATGTGCAACCAAGCCGACGCCATCATCAGCCCCGAGGGGATGGCGAAGGTCATCAGGGAGATCCAGACAGCACCGCCACCTGCAGCCGCAGCCTACCAGCTTAACGACCAGCAGACCGCGACTTCGGCCAGTAGCTCCACAAACCTGGACAACCCGCTCGCCGATGACCAGTGGGGTACGCCACCAATCCCAAGGCATTTAGCAAGGTACGGAGGCAACGGCAGCGTCTCCACCCATTACACAGTGCGACACCGTTGCCAAGGCTGCACCGAGGGACTGGCCGCGCTACACAGCACCACCAATAGTCGCACCAGCCAAGGCACCGTCCCCACAGAGCGACACCCTGCCACCACCGGCTGCAACCAAGGCAGGGCCCCACGTGCTATCGGACGACACGAACCTGGGGCTTGTTGGGGCCAGGCCTAGACCGAACATACGCCACGAACATATATACACAGACACCCTGCGATAAGTTTTTCATGTGCCTTCACGAGGGCGCTGGTGTATAAAGCCGCTGGCTCGCAGTGGTGATTTAGACACTGTCATCCTCCCCATATGGCCCAAGAACAATTTCCGCGCGAGCGGGCTCGCATGGAATGCCCCTGAAGGTCATTCCGTGCGAGCGGCCTCGCTGCTGCCGATAGCCGTTGGAATTCCAACTTTTAGGTGGGACCCCCTAGGGGCCACAGGGGAAGTCCATTCGACGCGAGCGGGCTCGCATGGAATGCCCCTGAGGGTCATTCCGTGCGAGCGGGCTCGCTGATCCCGATAGCCGTTGGAATTCCAACTTTTAGGTGGGACCCCCTAGGGGCCACGGGGGAGGTCCCTTCCGCGCGAGCGGGCTCGCATGGAATGCCCCTGAGGGTCATTCCGTTCGAGCGGGCTCGCTGGTTCCGATAGCCGTTGGAATTCCAACTTTTAGGTGGGACCCCCTAGGGGCCACAAGGGAGGTCCCTTCCGCGCGAGCGGGCTCGCATGGAATGCCCCTGAGGGTCATTCCGTTCGAGCGGGCTCGCTGGTTCCGATAGCCGTTGGAATTCCAACTTTTAGGTGGGACCCCCTAGGGGCCACAGGGGAGGTCCCTTCCGCGCGAGCGGGCTCGCATGGAATGCCCCTGAGGGTCATTCCGTTCGAGCGGGCTCGCTGATGCCGATGGCCGTTGGAATTGCCTTCCGCGCGAGCGGGCTCGCATGGAATGCCCGAGGATGATGATCATAATGTGTGTGTGTGTGTGTTTGTGTGTGTGTGTGGTTGTGTGTGTGTGTGTTTGTGTGTGTGTGTGTGACTGGGTGTGGGTGGGTGTGGCCCGGGGCCGTCCAGAGAAAACAAGAACCCCACTTAGGATGTGGGGAATCATAAACCTCGTGGAAGATAACTCGCAACAGATAACAGCCAGAGCCCCCGACCCCCTCTCCCTGCGCCACTTCTCGGGCCAGCCGGAGCTGTCTGTGAGGGTCCAGGGGGCCCGAGACCGCGCGAAAAAAACGCCCTGCTCGAACAAAAAACTGGGACGCCCCGATCTCGATCCTCGATCCTCCTCGAGCCTCGAGCCTCGATCCTCCTGGATCCTTGGTCCTCCTCGATCCTCGACCTGAGGGTCCTCTTCGATCCTCGAGCCTCCCGGTGGCCAGCTGGCCGGCCGCGCGCGAGATGCCGGCGCTGGCCGCTGTGTCCTTCAGCGCCAGGTTGCTGAGGTGGAGGTCTCCGTGCACCAGGCCTTGGCCGAGGGCATGCTCGACCCCCGCTTTTTGGAGGAGCAGCGGGAGCAGCAGCAACCGCAGGAGCAGTTGGCTCCGCCGGCCCGAGCGCCCATCATGCCGGAGGGCGCACGCCTCGCGCGGCGCCAGGGCACAGAAGCAGATGTGCCCCAGCGGGCTGCCCCTGAGAAGGTCCCTGCAGCCTGCCCCGCAGGTCCCGCAGAGGTCCCGCGGAGGCCTCGACCCCCCTGGCAATCGCTTTTCGCTGCGCTGGATTCTTCTCGCTCATCGCCGGCCGGAGTGTCCCACAGGACCTGGGTCCTCCAAACGACCCCCCATCGTGTGGCGCGCGGTGGGAGAACGGGACTTTGCGCATTGGACGAGGAGGAGGAGGAGGAGGAGGAGGAGGAGGAGGAGGAGGAGGAGGAGGAGGAGGAGGAGGAGGAGGAGCAGGAGGAGGGAGGAGGAGGAGGGGGGGGGGGAGGAGGAGGAGGAGGAGGAGGAGGAGGAGGAGGAGGAGGAGGAGGAGGGGAGGAGGAGGAGGAGGAGGAGGAGGAGGAGGAGGAGGAGGAGGATAGGGAAACAAACAATGACATAACCATAAACTAAAACTCGGAGGTCCGCGCGTATTCCTCAGATCGGCGATGGGGCCCCCCTGGCGGCGCCTCCGGCGCCGCCCTGTGAACCTCAGACATGTATGATTATGCCATTGTTTGTTTCCCTAGAGGAGGAAGAAGTCGAGGAGGAGGAGGAACAAGGTGCAGCGTGGCCTGGAGGCGCAACGAGGCCGAAGAGGAGGAGGAGGAGGAGGAGGAGGAGGAGGAGGAGGAGGAGGAATCGTACCTCAGACCTCCCGGAACAACAAGACGGACGTCTTTTTGCATCCTTGGTCCCCGGGCAGGCCACGCCGGGACCCTCCCGCGTCAGGACGCCGCGGCGGCACGCGGGCGAACGACACGTCCGTCTCCGCGGCCTCGCGGGCTGGGCCCCCTGGGCCACGACCCCGCGGATACGGGGCGCTCTTCCGCGGAGGCTCCGCGCGAAACGTGCCCGTGCGGCCGCGCACCCGCGGGAGCGCGCCCCGACGAAAGCAAGACCGCGAGAGGGCGCGAGTGTGGGTATGCGCTCGCCGCTCGTGAGCTGCCGTCCCCGACGGGCGTCCTCGCCCCGCCGCGTGGCCCCGGGAGGGCCCCCGCTGGCACGGGTCCTCGCGTGCGCCCGAGGCGCTGCGGGCACCACCGGCCCGCCATCGCTCGGACGTCCATTCCCCGCGCGCGCGCTTCCGGCTCCGTGCGTGTAATCTTTTCCGGGAGGGAGGGCCCAGGATGCTCCTCGAGGGCCCCCGCCGAGAACAAAAAGCACGTGCGCGCGCCAGAGCGTTGCCACGCAAGAAGCAGGACACCTCGCGGACCGATGCGGCAGGAGGACCGCCGCGCACAAAGACCAGAGTCTGCAGCCCTGGCCCTGCTTTCCCCGCGGCGCTGGGGCCTTCTCGCGAGGTGAGTCTCATGCCCATGCTCGACATGCAAGAGTGGCCCTGGGCTTAGGTCGGGCATGTCCCCCTACAGGCGGATTTGGAACGAAAGAATACTCAATACATGCCCCAACATAAGAAAAACATGCCAAACATCCTCCCTATACTGCTTTTGTTTGTGACAGTGTCTGCATATTCCTCCTGTAGAGGGACTTGCCCGACTTTTAACCCTGGGCAAGAGTGACCTCTGGTGCGCGGCTTTCGGGGGCCGCGGGGGGCCAGACTCGAGCGCGCAGGCCAATGCTGGAGCCACCCCTCCGGGCCCGCAACCCAAAGATCCAGTGAACGGTCACCCTTGCGAATATTGGCCCAAGCAAATCCCCAGGCACGGTGGGGCACCCGCGACAATGCGTCCGACCATGGACACCACGCATCCAAACATGTGCACGTCCCACTCTTGCTCCCGCCACCCTCTGCCGGGCTTCCGCCAGCGGAACCGCCACCGCTCTGCTTCGGCTTCCGCCGAAGAGATCTCGACTTCGTGGTCCCTCGAAGGCGAGGCCAGTGCTGGAACGCCCCACATCGAGGATGGTTCGCGTGGGGTATTTTGGCTTGAGCTTCTCCCTCCGCTTCTCCCCCCCCCTGCGCCTCCCCCCTGCGTTGAAGGCAGGCTGAGGACAGTTTCGGATGAGGATACGTGGGGCATCTCTGCGATCTGGCGGGGCCTGGGCGATCCATTGGGCGCCACGGCTATTCTTGCGAGCTCTGGAACGCTCCGAAAAAGATTTGTCCTGAGCTTCCCACGATGAAGGCAGGATGAGGACAGACTCGGATGAGGAGAAGTGGGGGATCTCTGAGATCTGGCGGACCTGGAGGCTGAATCGGGCGCCACGACTCTTCCAGCGCGCTCGGAAACGCTCTGACGACGACTTGCCCTCATCCTGGGCCTCCCTGGCGCCCCCTCTCCCGCGCCTGATCGGGACACCGGGAATCGCGGGGGTACGAGTCGGGACTTCACCAGACCTTCGGGCGCCGTGCGGGGAGACTGTGACGGGCAGTCTAATCCCCCGATGGCTTCGCCACAGTGGGAACCACCCTCAAGCTATGGGACCCGCAGAAAAGCAGAAAAAAATCGGCGCGCAGTAAGGCAACAATTCTTGTCCTTGGGGGCCGACGAGGGCGAGGAGGACGAGGTGTGAGGGAGGCGGGAGAAGGGAGGAGAAGGGAGGAAGAGGAGGAAAAGGAGGAGGAGGAGGAGGAGGAGGAGGAGGAGGAGGAGGAAGAGCAGGAGGAGGAAGAGGAGAGGAGGAGGAGGAGGAGGAGGAGGAGGAGGAGGAGGAGGAGGAGGAGGAGGAGGAGGAGGAGGAGGAGGAGGAGGAGGAGGAGGAGGAGGAGGAGGAGGAGGAGGGAGGAGGAGGAGGGAGGAGGAGGGAGGAGGAAGGAGGAGGAGGAGGAGGAGGAGGCGGAAGGAGGAGTAGAGGAGGAAGGAGGAGGAAGGAGGAGGAGGAGGGGAGGAGGAGGAGGAGGAGGAGGAGGAGGAGGAGGAGGAGGAGGAGGAGGAGGAGGAGGAGGCGGAAGGAGGAGTAGAAGGAGGAAGGAGGAGGAGGAGGAGGAGGAGGAGGAGGAGGAGGAGGAAGGAGGAGTAGAAGGAGGAGGAGGAGGAGGAGGAGGAGGAGGAGGAGGAGGAGGAGGAGGAGAGCCGCTGCCCGCTCGGGAGATGGGGCGGCCGGAGCGGCGCCCCACGCGCGGGCGGCGGCGGTGCGGCGCCGCCATGGGGGCTGCAGATGGGGGGAGGATACCCCCCACCAAGAAACGGGATGCGAAGCCCCTGAAAGAGGAGGAGGAGGAGAGAGGAGGGAGGAGGGAGGAGGGAGGAGGGAGGAGGGAGGAGGGAGGAGGGAGGAGGGAGGAGGGAGGAGGAGGAGGGAGGAGGAGGAGGAGGAGGAGGAGGAGGAGGAGGAGGAGGAGGAGGAGGAGGAGGAGGAGGAGGAGGAGGAGGAGGAAGAGGAGGAGGAGGAGGAGGAGGAGGAGGAGGAGGAGAGGAGGAGGAGGAGGAGGAGGAGGAGGGGGAGGAGGAGGAGGAGGAGGAGGAGGAGGAGGAGGAGGAGGAGGAGGAGGAGGAGGAGGAGGAGGAGGAGGAGGAGGAGGAGGAGGGGGGGGGATACCCCCAGCAAGGGTGGGCACGAGTGGGCATCATTAGGGGAACAAAAAAGTGACATAAACAGAAAAACTCGGAGGTCCGCGCGGATTTCTCGGATCGGCGCTGGGGCCCCCAAGCGGCGCCTCCAGCGCCGATCCGAGAAATCCGCGCGGACCTCCGAGTTTTTATGTTTATGCCACTTTTTGTTCCCCTCATCATAGCCGGCTCAAAACCACAAGAGGCATCAAAGCTTCTGACATCCCGATTGCCAATTCATATGCGTTGCAGCCTGCTCTCCCCATGCGCTGGCGGCCCCTCGCGGCGCCCGCGGCAGGCGCGCAGCGGAGACGCGGCAACGACGCACCGCCGCAGGCGTCCAGACGGCCGAGCGGCCAGAGGCGGCGCAGCACCGCCGCGTCCGAAGAGCACGAGGCCGAGCTCGAGTTCTGGATCGACTGGCGGCGGCCCGCCAGCGACTGAAGAGGCACCACGGCTTCTCTTCTATCGGATAACATGCAGCGTCAGCCAAGTGAATAAACATGTGCTGACTGCAAGCAGCAGAATGGGGCATCGCCTTGGTCCTGTCAGAAGCGACAGGACGGGGGCGGACAGATGGGACAGCATCGAGCAGGAAATGGAAACCATCTGTTCGATAATTGGTTGGTAGATCAAGCTGAGCATTTTCCAAACGTGGGATGCTCGTTGGCCTGCACAATCGTGTGGTTGATCTGTCATCTCTCCAGCCGGTTGGACGACATGCGCTTGAATCCCCAAATACCTCCAGCGGCATCTCGGGCACATGAACCGAGAGGCGGCAATGCAGGTCCTGTAAATCAGTAGTGGGTATAGGTGGTACTACAAGGGATTCGACAATCGAATGGGTCCAAGACGACGACAGCGGGGGAGGAGGAGCATACAAGATTACCCGTAAAACGCTCGACGAAGCTGATGCAGTAGATATCGAAGACATGATGTACCAAAGGTCGGTCTTCGGCCTGAGGCAATGGCTAAACTTGCGCTGGTCGAAGAGGAGGACGGTGACACCGAGGCAAGTAGTGGCATCATACTTCTGGAGCAAGCGGAGGAGGCGGAGATATTTGCCAAGAAAGAATGAGGACGCAAGGGCTGGAAACCCATCTTCACCGTGAACGTCGACTGGAGGAGGAAGAGGAGAAGGAGGTACATTCAACGGTAAGACTAGAACAAGAAGAGGCGGAGCACAAGGTGATTAATGAGGACCGCATCCGTGGAGGTCCAGGCGAGCCACGGGCAGAAATTGGATCACTTGTGGCTGAAGGGCACGCGAGAGAAGAAGAACACGAGACCGACAGGAATATCGGAACAAGAGAAGCCAGCACGCAGGCATGGGAGAGGCTTTTTTGGAGGCGGGCCACCACGCAATTCGG